TTATCGTTATCAAAAGAAAGGACATATTTATTTCACTGATATTTTAAATAAATTATTAGTTCTTTTGCCTTGTTTTATTATTTTTATAGCAAAATATAATTGTTTATTCAAAGATTAAAGTATTTTTGAAAGTAACTTTGAAAATTATAAATAAAAATTAAGAAAAATATTCATATATTAATCCGTTACATATTAAAATAGCAAAATAATTATTTGAAATAAAGTATATTTTGAATGCTATATTTGTAAGAAAAATTTTCTTTTCAAAATATATAAAAAGTATTTTATTATTAACTTTATTTCGCATAAAAAATGTAGTCATTTTTTAAAATTAAAAGTTTTTAACTATGATAATATTCAATACTATTCGAAGACTAATAATTTTGAATATTTTATTTCATTATAAAAAATTTTGACAACTACCAAAAATCACAATGTTGATAATGTATTAATCAAACAGAAAAAAATATGCAAAATTCAAAAATACAGTACCGACACTGTAAAAAAAAGTTTTAAACAGTATTAGCATTAGATATCGTTTACTTCGTCAATATTAATGTAAATTAAATTTAAGATTTTATTTTTTAAACAAGACGAAGTAAAATTGACCCGAAAGTATGAATAATTATCCTAGTATACCTTGTGTGTATCTGATAATTAAGTAATGATAATTGATAAGTAATGATAATTGATCAATTATCATGTGTTTATTTGTGAATGCATATACAAAGAGGGATTGCCACTTCTATCTTCAGTAATTAAAACTATATTGTAATTGCCTACTTTATACAACATTTACTACACACATGTCTTTATTAAACTAATTGTTTACTACTTGTATAATTCAGTTGTTGTTTTTGTCAAATATGAATAGAAGACAAGCCTATTTGATAGTTATCATTATGAAAACTATATAATATATTGATAGTGCCGTTTTGTTTATAAAATGTGTAGGAACACTAGTCATTATAAATGCTATTAGGTATTTAGGTACATCTACGTAATCTCTAATTGCTGAGATTGAAGGTTTTCGTTTAAATTACTGCTCCTCGTATACATATTTTGTTTTCAACAACATAAAATATAAAAGTAGATCGTTTTTAACGAAAAAGCTAACGTTATCAGAAAAATATAAAAATTTTGAAATTTGTTATATATATTATATATTTATAATAGTTATCAATAATTAATTAAAAATTTTAAATTTCTAAATTTATCATGATTTTTAATTTTTCAATATTTTAATATGAAAAATTCTTCGAATTAATTCAACTGTGAGCTTTTATTATTATTTAAAATCTAATAAAATATTTATAAAATATAGAAGATATTAGAAAGATATATTTTTAATGCAAAATAGAATAATAAAACATTGGGATAAATGAAATTGTATACATTTTCCTTACAGAAACATATATATGTTATATGAGAAATAAATGAATAGAAATTTGTTTACTTTTATAAATCATATCAAATAAAAGTCATTTAGTCTTTGTTATTAACTTATATTATAAAAATCGTCATATTTAATATAATTTTATTATAATATCAACTGAAAATTTGAAGAAGTCAAAAAAGTAAATATCATATTCATTCAAAAGAAGAAATTTGCAATAAAAAATAAGAATTAAAAAAATAAGTTTTGCTGTACAATTTAGGATCATATCCAACTGAATTAACAAGTAGTAAATTAGTGTTGTTATTTATAATAATAATTGGAACTGAATATCTAATGAATGAATGTCAACTAATTTTCAGGATACTATGAATGATGAACATCATTACATTATTATACTTACAAATACACTCGCTACAATATTATCTATTTCCTTATATAACATTATCATTCTCAATATACGTGGCCAATAAGAACAGATTTGTACTTGCATTGAAATTGTTAAGTTAACTCCAATCACTTCGCACAGCCCAGTATAGTGTGTGTTTTCATATTTTTTGTTTTTGTTTTCTTTAAAAATACAATTTCTCATTGGATGGCAGCATTCTTATCAAAAAGTTGGCTTGGAGAATGTTGTAATGACATTTAGGAAGAGATTAGGGATTTTCTAGTAGATACTAATTTGTTAATAAATATGTGTGAGTTGTTCCAATTGTTAATGTGAATATCACAGAGGCTTGATCGGAATATCTTTTTGTAGGAAAATAGGTATCTACATATTACAATGGTAGTAAAGGTTAAAATACTCTTAATATGGGAGAGTTAGTTCTTAAAAATGCAATACACTATACATGGGCTAAACGCATTACAACACACCTCCCTTCACCTGGTCATTAGAATTATTCATCAATATCTAATAACTTGTTGAATGTGCGGTAATATGGAGTATTTATAACATTCGCTATTGAAGTAACTGTTGACTGCGAGTGATATTGCTAGAGCCAGAAGTAAGAGAAAATGTGATGGGGATTTTTTTCTTATTATCATTTATTATTCCCTTATAGTTACTTGGGTCTAGATCGCAGCGGTTGCTACCTGCGTGAGATCAATCCATTGCTTGTTCCTACTGTTGGAGTCATTTCAAGCTCCACTAGTAAAGGAAAATGATCTGAAAGAAAACATTATATCATTAACATCATATATTATTAATATCATTTTGCAAAAAAAAATGTTACATATGAGGGACAGAATTTTTATTTTTCATTTTATTCTTTGTTGAAATAATCTTACCAGATGGAACATGTGGATGCGGACAACCGACTACTTTATGTTCTTTAAACCAATCTGCACTTAAAGGACCTAACAGTCCTAGTGGTACCATACTTTGTTTTGAGTAGAAAATGTAGTCTATTATACCTTTGAATTCGAATCTGTAAGAAAGAAGAGGTAGATTTCATTTTCTAAGAAGTAAAATATTAACATAAAATATAAACAAAACTTACGTATAATTAGTATAGGGCATGATATCTTCACTATATGCAGATGCAAGTTTAAAAGAATGAGTGAATTCATTAGGTTTATCGCAACCAGAGATCTTTTGTAAGCATGATTTGTAAGCTAAGTCTTTAAAGTCACGGTGATCAGCCGCTACTCGCCCCGAAGTAAGAAATTCAATTACACCTAAACAAATATTTAAATAAATGTCAAAAATATATAAGATTATATAATATATAATATATAAATATTATTATATTATTTAATATTAAAAAATACAATTAAATTAGTTATCTTCAGCGTTTCAGTGATGATTAATAAGAAAAGAGAGGAACGAATAATAAACAAATTAAGAAAGCAAATCAAAGAGAATATCACATAAAATTTCATGTAAAACTAAGAATAACATATAAATAATAATATACTTTACCGGAGTCAGGTAAGGAATTGAAATCACCACAAAGTAACAGTTGAACATTGGAAGAATCGGGCTTGTGACCAGGTCTGAAAGACTGGCCAGCTTGGTCCAAAATGGAACGTAATTCATTACTGAGCATCATTGTCTGTATTAATTTAACATCGCAAAATTCTGGATCCCAATGAATATGAGCTGTGCAAACTAAAATTGGTTGTTGAACTTGTGCTGGATCAGATGGAAGGCCTGAAAAATATAAAATGTACATGTGTTGTTTTATTTTTAATGAAAAAAATTTAACATTTTATTAATTAATTATCATCGATAATTTAGCATTTCATTGATTAAAAAAGAACTAATAATAAATATCTTTAAAATATAATAATTAATTTAATAAATTTTAATACACGTTGTTAATATGGTTTTATAAATTTGAGGATATTAAAAAATGTTTGTAATTATGTAGAGTTTCTGGATATAGAATTGTTTCCAGTTAGCTATAATTAATTAAATAGTTTATTTATTATATACAATTTATTAAAATTCCATAATATTTTAGGCTTTGAGAGCTTAAAATTATCAAAAATTTAAAAATAGTGAATGGAGAGGACAAAACAAGACATTTGTCTTTGGAAAGTTTATGTGACGCTTTCACAAGCAATAAATAACTATTTTGTCATTGCATTAGTGCATTGTCGCCCACATAATTTTTGTGCCTATATAATTTTTACATACCATAAAATAATTATATTACGTATATATTAAAATTATAAGATTTTTTTATTTCAGCTTAATAGCTAATACCTTGGTTAATAATGTTTCTACATTTCCGTTACTATATACATACATATAACAACATATACATTTTGGCTTATTTACTAGTTATTATTTGTGTTTATTACTATTTTAAACTACCTACATCAGCATTTCTAATCTAATTCATACTAATGCTAAATTATCTCTGGTTCTTTTTCTTCACTTTTCTTAGCTATTCCAACAGTTTCCTCTGCGTTTTCTCTTTTAAGACTCCTCCAGTCTACTATATTCATTTTCCTCCAATATTTCAAGCTATGTTTCCATTCGTTACATACATAGTGTGCATTTCTTTTTTTCTTTTCTTAATCAGAATTTTTGTTTTCATTTTCTAAGCTTCTTGCTATTATTCTCTGTTTATCTCCCATCCTTTTCTTTCTTAAATAACTTGCTAGCTCATCTAATTTTTTTTATAATTCGTGTTAAATCTAATTTCTTGTTTCATTTCACTATCTATGTTTTTGCATTTCTTCTTTCCTTTTTAATACTTTCTTTATAATCTTGCCTTTTTACTTTAGTTGGCCTATTTCTTCCTATTAAAATTATATGTATTGAGAAAGATAAATTACATTTATTAGGCCATAATCGTATTAATTTTATTTTTACGTATACCTTTTTTCACAGATATGTATTTAATCCATTTATTTACTTTTGTAGTTTTATATATTATACTTCAATTTCATTAAAACTATACATAAAGATAATAAAATGATGGAAATAACGGAATAATGTATATACAATGCTACATTACAGTGACAAAAAACAAGAACAATAGTTGGTTATTATATAATTTATTTTAAACTTATAAAATAACTGAATAATTTATATTAATATATTTCAAAAACATATCGTACAATTGTATAAATTACATTGTTAAGATATATAATTTATGTTATATTAATATATTTTCAAAAAATGATAGTTTAAGTAACAATATTCTTTTCAGTAATGTATTGATCACTATTTGTAACTGATGATATTGAATGAGATATGAATGAAATTGTGTAATCGTACACAAATATATTATATTGCATTAAATATTTAATAATGAGTCCTTTTACATGAAGAGGTTGCAGATATATATATATATACATACATATATTTTGCTAAAATATTACCATTAATGTAAAAACACCATAAAGAAGAGCACAAGGATACGCAAGAAGAAGCCGCTGATTTTCTTCTCCTGACATAGTTGTAAGGAGTCTAGATGCTGATAATGTTGACCAAGCAACCGCAAACATGGCAAAAACTAAGCCAGCTGGGCCTCTCAAAGTTGTAAAAATACTTAAACCAGCAAGAACTACGACGGGTAATAAGCAATAACCTAATACAGATGCTACTGAAGATAATGTAATATTACTGGAACTGCTCATTAATGATTGTAGAATGTACATCAAAATGCACGATGTTACAGCTAAACCATAAACATAGCCAAAATGTGCTTTTGAACCAGCTAGCAACAGAAACGCGGCAAGCATTAAACAAAATGCTACTGGCCCAGCTAGGTCTGAATCCTGAAGTAAATAATTTGCATCGTCTATTTGTCCTTTTCTATGAAATGGATTTAATACAGCTAATGTTTTTTGTAATATTCGATCGGGATCAATTCCCAATTCTTCTAAGAGTGGTGGTTCCTCTTCTTCATCAACAAATCCTGCTGAGCCTGAAATTTTTGTATAGAACATAATAAAATTACCTAAAATAATATAAAATATGAATTTCTCTATGATTGTTACAATTGTCCTTTTTAATATGACGATACATACCAGTAGTAAATGCAGTTTGAGTAGGATCGAGATAACTTTTTTGCGTGTAAGCAGAATAATCTCCAGATTGTTGATCATTGTATGTTTGGAATTCGAATTGTTGGTTAGGTTGACCAAAACCAGAGGAATCAAAGTTATAATGGCCTTGGGGAGGTTGTCCCCAATAATTCTCTTGTCCAGTATAACCAGACATTTCTCAAATAGTTTCTACAGTGTTTTCTAGTCAATTTATATCTTTTTTCAAAACTCGAATTTACGTTAATTCCTTTTTTTATAGTTGACACATGCACATAGAAGTTAACAGGGAATAACGGTCTATTAGTTCCTTCGAATGCTACGTGATGGCGCAATTTGAAATATGTGACAAAGTTAACAGGTCGAAATTATTTCAAATTATTAATGAAAAAGAAAATATCTAATTTGTATATCGATTGAATTAATATTAAAAAACCTTAAATTTGGATGCCATAATTTTTATCAAGTGTTATTTATTTAAATTAAAAAGAAGTATCTTTTAGTGTCAAACTGATACTTACATACAGCTAAAAAAATTAATTAAGTACTAACTACTACTAATTAACTACTAAAATTATCTATAACTAGAAGATAAATTAAATTTGCAAATCTTTTTACCAACAGTGAATAGACTAAATTTTTATTCAATTGTGTATAACTTACTTTCAGGTATAGATATTTTCAAGCATAGATATTTGTTACAAAATATGTGAAGTTGGTAAAAGGGATAGATGAGGCACAATTGTATATTTTGCTTGCAGACTGACAGTATCTTGTCACTTGTTATTTCCATTTGCATTTTCCATGGATGTTATGGAAAATGATAAAATTGATCACATCACCAAATATTTTATCAAGTATTTATGATAATAGTGTTGATCACATGGTGCACTTTATTCAACGCGTTTTATTTATTCTTTGTGTAAAGCGAATCGGTTTGGTTACAAGTAATCATCTAAATCTAATGTACTGCTCCATTCACGAATAAGATCTTATTTTTATGACGTGGGGAAGGAGATTAATATTTTATAACAGTGGAATAGTATAAACGTTTCTATTTCATTTTCGTGCGGGATTGAATTTGAATAAGCTCTTTTTAATTTGCATTTAGACGCAACCATCACAGGTGTTCGCACATCATTCAAAACATAACTTTATTTTAAGTGAAGTAGTTCTAGAAATTATATTTCTAGAAATGCAGTCAACGTATTATTTAAATCTGAAGCATATATAATATAATATTTCTTTATACGTATAGTTTCTCTGCTGATTTTGTAAATAGTTTGAAGAAACAGGTAGTGAACTTGCTCAATGAATTAGTATTATACTGACATGAGTTCTAAAATCTTGAACGTCTTGTTCTCTGCGACAACTCACAAATTTATAAGATAGTAATGCGGATTAAAGATTAAGAGTAAGGAATGGATCTAGGGGGAAGAGATTCTCTAGCATATAAATGCGGTCGACTATTATGCGACATATAAAAACATCAGGTATAATTATAATTATAATTATTGTGTGTTTTATAATAACTTTGTGTATTTTACTTTTGAATTTGGACGTATTCATAACATTTCACTTTGGAATTGTAATATTTCAACACACTCTCATTGAGATAATAAATCATAATAAATCATATTTTCACAGCAACAGTATTTACTGCTTCATTTTTGAAATTTTTGTAGACAGAATGGAGAGGCAAGATCATCAATTAATCCCTTAAATGAAGCATCGTAAATATCTTCTTACATGCTTACTGGCTTTTACTCATTCTTTTGTCCAATAGTTTTAATCAATTCTGTTGAGACATGCTACATCGATTTTGCATAGGAATAGAATTCAGATCACTGATCAACGACACACGGTAGCGTGTCAAGAGAAGTGAACGTGATAAAAAGAGAAAGAAGTATCCGAGTTAGACACAGGAGATAAGTTTATTTCTAGCGGACATGTGGCACGTAGTTATATTTCACACTTCTTACTTACGAGAGTTAATACGCTCGTGAAAAAAGGTGAATCGTGTGACATGTTTGGTAGATGACTACCCGAGATTGGCAGTCTGGAATCCCTATGTCATGAATTATAAAGCTGCTTGCGTATATGTAGTCTACGAACTTGTGCCACTTCATCTTCTTCAGGCGCTTCAAAGCATGCTGTTCGATTTATGCCAGCGCGGGCATGACTCGCAATTAATTAAGCAATTGCTGTGATATCAAACATGTCTACCAGTATGCTTTGTTGATTGGTTCGAATATCTCTATATCCTGATCAAGTGTCATTTGATTTTTAATGTGCACATCCGATCCACTCGAGTGAATGATCTTGTTAAGATCTTGTAATTGTATTAAATGTAGTTGCAGTGACTTACAGGTTCGTTCACACAGATTGTTTCGTAATCGTGGTACAACCGAGCAAGCGGTGATACTCTATGCAAAAATAAATCGGAAAAGAAGAGACTAACATTTTTTCATTTGACATTTCGATTGGACAAATTCCAGATTGGACAACAATAAATAACCGATAGTTTATGTGCAAAAGTAAGACTGTAGAGTAACATTTTTTTTCACATTATGCTTTGCTTCTAAGAAAATTAAATCTGAAAATTCATCAAGCATACCAAGTGTATCAAATTAATTCTTAATTAAATACGTTCGAGCTTTATTTTTTTCTTTTGACGAGGTATTAAACAGAAAAACTTTATTCTTTTTTATTCTTACTTTTTCGTAGAATTACATTCTTTCTGATTGTACACCCAGATCATAAACATGACTAATATTTCTATAAGACTATTATATTTAGTTACACCAGAAATGTGTATAGTTACATTTTCTGTTGAGAATGATATTTAATTTAGAGTTCCAATTTATTTTTTCATGTAGAATCATCCTTTTTCTGGTTGTATCTATATTTATTTATGTGAAAAATATAATATATTTCTCGTTTATAATGTCGTTTAATTTAGCAAAAAATGGTATTGATTGAAGTATAATAAAATATAGAGTTCCGTTTAAAAACAGATCGACGATATCTTGCAAAGAATAGTAATTTTGAGAACAAATTCTTCTATCATTATATGTATTTGTTTTGAACCATTTTTTGATATAACACTAAATAAGACATTTACGTGATTAGCTTAGATTTTGTATGTATTTGCAATGCTCTGTGTTCAAATATTAATCGCCAGTAGAATATGTAGTAATCAAATTGGTATAATATTTTGTACAATTTTTACCCATATTAATTATTATTTATTTAACAATAAATCTAAGTGAAGTCTAAATTTGAATAAAGTTAACTCACCGTTATCCCAGGCAGCCTCCTTGGTCCTAAGCAGGGCAGCTAATCCAATATTATCCTTTGGCATTACTCGATTCAACATGTTGTCAGAACCTTCTGCGTTTGCCATTGCCAATTGGTTAAATTCGACTAAATGCTCCTTTATTAAGGTAAATCTACAGAAAAAACAAGGAATAAATTTATTAAATAGACGTGCCACGCGAAATTATGTTTCAGTTTCAAATATAATTTCCATGAATTACAATGTATTATGCAATACACTATATAATAATACGTTGCACATATTTATACATTATGAATTACAATACATTTTATGTAAACGTTTTATGTAAACGTACGCGTGCATAGGACGCATTTACTTTCATCTATGTGTATATGAAATTTTATTTTAGCTTAATATGTGTATAAATTTTGTTTTACTTATTATACGTATAATATCACGGAAGACATAATTGATTGAGGAAAAATAAATTTATTCATTACCATTGTGTAAATGTAATTGTGTAAATGCATAATAACTGCGAATATATTTCATTATTTCATCAATTCTACGTTGCTTCGTACAAATGAATTCAATACGAGATTAATGTCACAACGTTTCGTCGTGCCATACAATAACACCGCGATCGGAGTAATCATTTTTCTTGTTAATTTGTTTCTATAAAATATCCAGATGTGATTAGTGAAACTCGATTTCATTCTCAGTGAAAAGAAACTTTGGAACTTGGACGCACAGGACAGCTACGCGATATTTTCGCGGATAAACTTATAAGAAGGCGAATCACGTACTCCATGTAGAATACAGATTTCTCTTTCTGTTATGTGTAGCACGTATAGTTGGAAAGTATATATTCTTCGCTGAAATGTCATTACAGGCTATCATTCCGTTTACATCCTTACTAGAACCTCTAAACAAGATGAAAGCAACGTTACCCAGTGATATCGAAAGGCATCTATCTATATATTTCTGCAAAACGGGTATTTAATGAAGAAACAACATTCAAGATTGTTTATTTGAACAATTATAAATAGCATAACGAGAACAAACGAATATAAAATAAATGTAAAGGAAATTATACAAATATATATCTCTAGACATTTTCTGTATTTTTAATATTTGAATGGAATTAGATTTAGATGCTTGAATTGATTTTGCTTCATTGGAACTCGACAAAAATGAAAATTGTTAAAATTTTAACGGCAGAATTTTTTTAGTAACACTAAATATAAGAGTTTATCTGTAGTGCATTTAAAATATATATCATTCTGATCATTTTGATCGTTCTACATGGATTACGAGAAAAATTGTAGTAATAATAATTTGCTAGAATAACTTACATAAAAATCAATAAAAAAAGATCTTCGACAATGCGAGCATGACATTTAAATATCGGTACATAGCAACTAGTAAAATATACATATCTTTTAAAACTGAAATTATTTATTTACTCAATTATTTTCAATTACTATTGGTATTTAATTATTGTTTCATTGAATTTAACTTGTTAAGCGGGCTATTTATTAATAAAACATTTTATTTATCAACAAAATTATAGAATTAACAATTAATAAAAACAAACTGAGATCCGATACAGTCTGTCTTTAATAAAAGTGACACGATGCCTTCAAAAACTAAAATGAAGAAATTATCATACAAAAGAGATTGAGATTCTAGTAACGTAATCACTATAAATCGATCGGAATGTCTGTGCGTGCAATGCTCATGAACGATAGTGTATACATTAACGAGTAACGTAAAAAAAAAAAAAAAAAATGTACGTACATACATGACTCAAGCTGTTATTCTAGATCCAAGAACATATGTATATCTCGAAATTGATATAATATTTAAAAATGATGTGATTCTTGTAATATAATAGGGAGGATGTAAGGTTGTTTGAAATAGAATAGTTCGCGACATCAGGAAGGAAGTACGAACTCGTTAAATAACGGTGGTCTTTCGTCCTTGCAAAGATTAGGTTGTTAGTCTTACATCGGCATCGCATTCATTATGCGGTCGGGA